ACACTCGGATGGTATTGGAATGATTGCACTTCGAGCTGATGTTTTATACTGCCTCAACCAGTAGGAGTTAGAGAGAGAGGGGGGTAGAGAAAGAGAAAGATACACAGCAACAACAATATAAACAATAACAATAAAAATAATAGCAATAAACAGTAATAATAATAAACATCAAGACCGCGGCAGTAGGCACAACTATGATCCATGGGAACCTGCAAACGAAAACTGGGAACAGGGTTGAAGCTAGGTTAGTAACACTAATGTGCATTAATGTCTACAGATAGAGAGGGAGAGGAGGAGCTCAGTGAATAATGGAAAGGTAACAGGGTAATATGAGATCTTTAAGATGTGATGTTGCCTGACATGAGGAGCTTTGTAGCTGAGGGGGATGATTTCAAAGGTCCACTGTATAACATTTAGGAGGAGCTATTTGCAGAAATGGAAAATAATATAAAGTTTTCATTAGTTTACAATCATCTGAATATAGGAATGTTTCTATATGTTTCTACAGTAGCCAAGAAGAGGCAAACCAAACACTGGCTCAAGATAGAGTGAGGGTGAAGAGAGTGAGTTGTGATTATTATACTACACCGCTATATGCGACAAAGTCCTAAACACTTGCTCTTTGAATTGTATTGTGAATTTTACAGGGATCCAGTGCAGAGGAGCTAATGCAGGATCGATTTTCCTGTCAGTACTTGTGCTGCATCGTTTTGGATCAACTGGAAAGTTACTTTACAAACACATTTATTATATAATACTAATTTCATTCATAGAGAACTTTGAAACACACAGTAATATAAAATAAGACCACACCTAAAAAACAAAACAATAAAGAAGTAAAAGAAATATGCAGAAATAAAGAAAAGAAGAAACAAAAAACAATACCATCTGTACCACGGGTGGGTGAGTTGATATGTTTTTAATCATAGATGTAGTTTCCATTTTTGACCACAGGTGGGCGGTATCACCATTCACAACATCTGTGTTTCCACCATCTTATTTCAAATGAAAAACCTCACCACTAATACAGAATTTGCTAAGGTTATGGGTTGGGTATTGACTGTATTCTGCTATCACAAATTAAAACAAAAATGAACAGAAACCACTGTGGTATCGTAATAATAATAAATTGCAGATTTTCTTCCATCAAATCATTTTTTTCTCCTTATTCAGACTCAATATGTACAAAAATATTAAATTGGTAACCCTTCACTTTGCCACTAACTGAACATTCATAAAATAATAATAACAATAATAATAATAATAATAATATCATAAACTGAAATAATAATGTGTCTGTAAGCTCTGTGTATCTGCTTCAGGTCAAACTGCTGTTAACGGCATCATGTTGGTTGCTGACCACAGTGAGTATACTCAGGCAGCTGTTATCATAAACAGAGTCTTCAGACGTGTGAACAGATCAGATAGAACATTGTGGTTTAACTGTTCCACTCTTTTAACCTGCTCACGGTTGAAAATACACACTTATGACGTGACAGACAGAGACGCCAGATACAGACTGAGGAGGACGATGAACCACACGATAAGTTTCAACCACAGTAAACACATGGGAAATTAACACTGTAATTTAATTCTCAACTCAGGTCAATTGCAGTGTGTTTCCATCCACCTGTTTTTACTTTTTAATTTATGCATTAAAGTTGCCAGATATTTGATCAAAAAGGTTGAAGGACGGACAACAAAACAAAACTTTCGATGAAATCAAAACTTTTTACAACAATGTGAAAAAGTACAAATGTACTGCGTTACTGTAACATCACTCTGTGGCTGCCTCTTTCCTGATGTCCTCTCACTGGCCTGTAAGACACATTTCCTGCAAGAAGGTACAAATACTATGAGAAATCTTGCAATTTGACCTCTTATCTTCTTTAGCTTTTTTTGCTCACAAAAAACATTAATTCCTATACAGGAAATAATATAGGATAATCTGTAGAAAGGGTTGGTAAAAAAAATCCATGGAGGTAAACTGACATAGTATATAGTATAAATCAGCTGCATCCAGGTAAAGGGGTAAGGACTAAATAATGATCAACTTGTTTAGACCTCCAAACTGCCACAGATGTAGCATCTGAAGCTCATCTTTCCCACTGTACTCTGCTGTGTTTATTCTTCTAATCTCTACAATGCTAAACATTTCGTTGGAAAACAGGAAGTGCAAGTTATTGCTTCCCGGGGGCAGGAACACCATAAATACAACAATTTCTGTGAGCAAAGAGATGCCGTATCAGCCATAGCCTTACCTGCAGTATAGTAGACTGAAGAATACACAGCACTCTCTTCTGGTAGACATGACTTGATTCTTGCTTTGGACAGTTCTGATTCTGTTTTGGAAACAAATTAATTATTATTATTTATTTTATTGATTTCTAAATCGCATTCTTGTATTGTAGCTATACAAGATGTTATTAAGGATATGTAGGGTCGAAGTTGACTGCAATGACAACAAAGGTGGTGAAGACAACAACTCCCATGATAACACACCACTTCACAACATCAACTTCATCTTCTGTTATTGTTTTGATGTAAGATAACCCTCAGTGGCAGAAATTACATATTGTACCTTTAGGTTGCAGACAGCTACCAAATGAAACCCCTTCGCTCAACCAAGTGTGAAGAAGAAACTATGGTGGCCACAAAACCTGCGAAAACTGTGAAAGGCCCTCTTTATAGTTAACCTTTGTTTAACACATCTTTAAACCAATAGTGCATCAGTGAACCATTACCTCTGGAGGCGCTTCCTTCAGTTTTGTCCTCTGTGCCTTTGTGTTTCCTGCAGTGGATTACTCCCAACACCAACAGCAGCACGGGCAGTGGTAAAAGCAGGATGAGGAGATTAAGGGAGTGAGTATGAGTTTCATCTTCACTATGAGGATGAGTTTCTTCATGAGGTTCTGAAAAGAAGAAGTACAGACTTACAAATCAGTAACAAAATACACGCAGATTTTGCAAAAAACTATTCAGGGACCTCGCTCAGTTTTGAAACTCTGTTATGTCTGACCTCTGACAAGCAGTCGGCTCTCTGGTGATTGTCCAGCTCCAGAGATGTTACACTTGTAGAGTCCTTCGTCTGATGTGGAAACATTGTAGAGGGTCATGCTTCCTTTATAGCCAGTCTTGATGCGGAGGTCATCTTTATAGAAATCAGCTATGAGGTCAGAGGGACTTTTCTTCTTTTGGCAGTGCAGAGTCACATTGTCTCCCTCCTCCACAGGCAGGAAAGGGCTCTCCAAGATTACTGAACCAGCTGAACAATGATAAGAAATGTTGTATGGTAAGCATTTATGTTGTGATTTCATGAAGACCTGATACTT